AATAGCATACAGATAGGACTCCTTTAGTATGACCACTCAATTTGGCTTTTTATTATCCTGTTTTAATATCCCATAAACGGATAGTTGTATCTCCACTGCCAGATATTAATATAGTACCATTAATAGAGAAGCATACTGAGGAGACATAATTAGTATGTCCATCCAGTCTTCTTGATTTTTGTTTTTGGACATCCCATAAAAAGATTAAAGTATCCCAGCCTCCAGATGCTATCGTACTTCCATCAGGAGAAAAGCAAACAGATAGTACTCCCTTAGTATGACCACCCAATTTGGCTTTTTATTATCCTGTTTTAATATCCCATAAACGGATAGTTGTATCTCCACTGCCAGATGCTATTATATTACCATTAATAGAGAAGCATACTGAAGAGACATACTGAGTATGACCATCTAATCTTGCTTTTTGTTTTCTGATTTTAAAATCCCATAAGCGGATGGAACCATCCAAACTACTAGATGCTAGAGTATTACCATCAGGAGAGAAGCATACTGAGTAGACTTAATTACGATGCCCATCCAATTTGACTTTTTATTATCCTGTCTAAATATCCCATAAACGGATTGAGTTATCTGCACTACCTGATGCTAAAGTAGTTCCATCTGGTGAGAAGCAGACCGAGTAGACTGTATTACGATGTCCATCCAATTTGATTTTTTATTATCCTGTCTAAACATCCCATAATCGAATTGAATTATCTGCACTACTCGATGCTGATATAATATTATTAGGAGAAATTGCTACTGATTGGACAAAACTAGTATGGCCGTTTAATATTGACATTCTGAGAACTTTGACATCCCAGAATCGGATAGAGTTATCTGCGCTACCAGATGCTAATGTAGTATCTGGTGAGAAGCATACTGACTTGATACATTTACTATGACCATCTAATTTAATTGTTTATTATCCAGTTTTAACATCCCATAATCCAATTGACATATCCTCACTACCTGAAGCTAAAATAATCCCATCAGGTGAGAAGCATACTGATAATACTCTATCACTATGACCATCCAATTTGGCTTTTTCTTACCTAGTCTTAACATCCCATAAACGGATTGACTTATCTGCACTACCTGATGCTAAAGTAGTTCCATCTGGTGAGAAGCATACTGAATAGACGGTTCCACTATGACCATACAATTTGACTTTCAATTACTCAGTCTTAGCATCCCATAAAAGGATTGACATATCCTCACTACCTGAAGCTAAAATAATCCCATCAGGTGAGAAGCATACTGATAATACTCTATCACTATGACCATCCAATTTGGCTTTTTCTTACCTAGTCTTAACATCCCATAAACGGATTGACTTATCTGCACTACCTGATGCTAAAGTAGTTCCATCTGGTGAGAAGCATACTGAATA